AGGGGTGGGGCACGGCTCCCTGCCTCTGTGCATACCCCTGGAGGGTGCATGAGGGGCATGTGCTCCCTGGATTTGTGTGCAGGAGAGAGGTGGGTTGCCTGCTGCAGGCTGGGGCTCTTTGACCTGCCGCCTTTGCCCCAGGAGATGCACACTGCCATGTTGTGCCTCCCACTGCCGGGCAGGCAGGGGAGGCGTGGTGTGGCCAGTGTGCTGCTCCCAGGGCAAAGGCAGCAGGGCTCAGAGCCCCAGCCCACAGCAGGTGGCCCACTTCTGTCCTGTGCACAAATCTGGGGGGCACATGCTCCCCCATTCCTCCCCTGGGGGCACACTCAGCAGCACAGAGCCATGCCCCCCTTCTCCCTTGGATGAAGCCACCCATGGCTCCATGACCCGCCACAGCCCAGGGTTCCATTCACCTCAGCCCCTGCCCCAACTCCCTCCTCTCACCATAGGGACCTCTGTCTGCCCCCCCACACCCCTTCCCCCTCCCCTGGCTCCTTCCCCTCCACAAACTTACCTGCTGGGCACTGCTCTACACATAGCTGGGTGTGTTCCTGGCTGCATGCATGCTTCAGCTGCTCACGTGTGTCTGTCTGTGCACATGGTCCCCCGCACCCCTGCCCGCTCCAGTGGCCCAGAGCCCATACTTGGGCTGTCCTGCAGTCCTCTGCACTGCAACTGCTACCCCAAGGGTGGCCCAGAGGTGGCCGTGATGGTGGTGGAATGGAGCCCAGGCACAGGCTCCAAAACCACGTGCACGATTAACATGTTGAAAATATTAGTGCAAGAACCAATTAAAATGTTAATCACACATGTTAACAGTGATTAACAACCCAAGTCCATATCTTTTACACTCTTCTCCACCAGCTACACTGGCAGCAATGACCATCTTCCTCCATACTTCCAGCAGAGATGCCACCTGTTCAACAGACAGAGAAACTGAATTGCTTTCTCAGACCTCAAGGTGATCCTTCCAGATGAGGTTTCAGAAATTTTAGGTTGAAGGTGCTTTCACAGGCATTGTTAGAGTGACATGTACGCTATAATAAAATTGAGAATTAAGGCTCAATGGCTGTCTACTTGGCCTCTGTCATAAAGGCTCAGATCACTTCATGTAAAAGAAATTAGTTACACATATAATGTGTTTTATAGATATGCCTTCTGTGCTAGGACCTTGCATGGGAAACAGAGCTGGGAGAAACTTCTTATGCCCTTTCAGGCTTTTGTGCCTATTCATCACAATCTGCTTCTTAGTCCCTCCCCTCCCCTTACTCTTTAGTTCATGCTTTGTATAATGATAACACAAATTATTATGAATGATCTCTTCCTTATTGATTTAAGTAGTCAGAAATAAGTAATCAAAATGTATCTTGGGTAGAAAATACTGCCCAATCCTAATGAAAATCCAGTTAAATGCTATTGAAAGGTATTCCCTGGGATTCTTACTATGTAACGCTATTCAGATTATCCATGTTCTGTTTCTCTTATTCCTTCAGTACAGTGAAAAGGTACTGGTAGACTTCCTAAACTTTCAGGCAGCTGGTTTTTGCCTTCTCAGTTTGATGACCCCTTATTCAAAGAAAAAAAGTATAGTGCCTCTACATTTGCTATATAAATAGGAATAAAAAAATCTAACAAGAATGATGATAAGCCTATATAATTTATTTGTGTGTATGTTTTGACAGGTTGACAGAGGGTAATTGACACTGAAATATACAGGGAGAAGGGGAGTGAGATTTTCTTTATTTTAGATTTAATGACATTTTCAGCACCTCACAACCCTCTGGTTGCTGTCTATAACCCTCTGGAGGGTCTCATCCTGCTCTTTGAGAAAAACTGGTAAGGCTCAATGAAGCAGGGTGTCTGTTGGATTGTAGAGACCAGAGAGCAGACTAAACTTACTTGGTCTATTCTTTTCAAGGTTTTTTATTTCCCATCATACTTGTCCACTTTTGGAGAGTAGTGTTGTTGTACATTATCACAAACCCTCTGGTCTACGATCCCAAGGGCATGTGGCATTTTTTCACAGGTTGAAAAATAAAAATGAATTTGAGTAAATGTAAATATCAGATGTTTGGATTTAACCAAATCTGTCCTTATTTGTGCCTGTGCTCGCTCTCAATTGGGTTTTATTCTTAATATTCAAGGACTATAATATAATTTTTAATTCTGGAGGAGAAATGAAGGATTCAGTATAGCAATTTAAATTTGGTATCCATAAAATTTAATAATTTAAATCCATAAAATTTAATCCATAAAACATTTTCTCATAAAGTTGACCTACAAATATTCCTAATTTCCATAGTTTTCCTTCTGTCTCCACACAATTATTTTAGACTCTGTCCTTTTCCTTTACAGCAGTGGTAAACATTTTATTATGCATAATAAAAGAATAAAATATGATGATACAACAACTGGCCATTTGAAATCCAGTAGGTCGCAAATATTTAAATTGAAACGTACTGTAGAAAGAGCAGCAATATCTATACACTGTAACTTTTCATTTACTTTTCACTTTTAAATTACATCCCCAAGGACATCTGGGATACACCCCCCGGAAATCTGGGATACACCCTCCTATTCTGTATTTGACCTGAGCTTTGCTATGTTTCTCTTCTGAACATTCTGTAAATGTATGTGACCACACATCCTCCAAATATTTGTAAGCTGTACCTCCTACATAAATACTAGATATAGAACTTTAATACAACCAGATTTATAATAATGACACGGAACCATTTGAACTAAAAATTGTATTTGACAATTCATCTTTAGCTAAAAAGCAAGTGAATTCTTAATTCTTTTGTTCTGGTATAGTTCAGTTAATATATTGATATGTCTTCCATTATCTATATCCAATGAGGCAATACTACAATTAGAGTTTATTTGCAATAATTATAACATAAGGCACCTTTTTGAATTTGAAATGACCTGAGATCAAAATTTTCCTTAAATGAGTGTTCAAGGTTACTCATTAGAAATTAAAGATATAGGAATATTTCCAAAAATGCCTTTCATTTAAATAAACCATTGGAGCACTATTACATCTTTGAACTATTTTTGTTTATAGTTTTAATTTAATTGAATTGATTTTAATTATTTAAATAAATGAAAATCATGAAACATTATGAAATGAACTGTCAAGGAATTAAAGCAGTCGGATTTCATGTGAGAACATTTGATGTATTTAACTTCAGAAGAAGAATGTTTTCTATAGTTACACAATATGCTATTTCTGTGCCTATAAAGATGCAGACAGCTTTTTCCTGATTTTTGCTGTCAGATTAGTTATTACCAACAAAGCTACTTCCATGGGCAATATATCTTTTTGAGACAGAGAAGTGAGGAATGTTATCTGTAGAAGGTTGAAAATGGAGGCTGAATTTTTTTCTTTTTATTGTTTGAGTGACTGGTAAAGCTACCAAACAGGAGGAGGTCTTATTGGACTATATTTTGCGTGTACATGTTCTGTTTAGAGCAGGACAAGAAGACCAGCTGCTTATAGTGGCAAATCAGTTATTTCTATCCCTGTGTATGTAATGCCTGAGTTTTTAAAGGAAAAATACAGGAATTAGATACATTAAACTAAACATATTTAGGTACAATTTACACATTAAAACTTGATGGACCATTCTTTGTATTCATAACGGTCAAGTGAAGAAATCCAGATACACGGTACCTTTGCATACTATCTTTATAATGAAAAATAGTCATTTTAAAGTATTCTTTTCTACTGATATATATATTTTTATTTAAACAAAGAGTAAATATGGCATCCAGTTAAACACCATTGATAGGTTTTTTTAAGGAGTGTGATTATAATGAAGGCGGCAGAATAATAAATGAGACCATTTAACTGTATGAATAAAATGCAAGTGTTTATCTAAAATTAATCCATGTCTCATAACTTGGAGAACAGAATAAATGGGTTGTTTTTCTTTGGCTCCATCAGAAATATTGTCTTCTAAATATTTACATTAATGCATTAGAAACTTTAAAGAGTGAAATAGCTTTTTTTGACATTTTTCCTGGTCAGCACAGGGACTATGAGAATTTCAACCTTTTAGCTCACCTTAAGTGTATAAAGTTTATGAACCAATTTCTTATAATGATTAACAGTTGGTGCTTACATTTAATTTACAGTTCATTTCTCCATCCTTATTTCTTCATGTTTGATCTTATATACTTCTAGGAGAAAGCATAGACTATAAATTGTTCTGTTCTAAAAGCTTCTCCTCATTATTATTAATATTATTATCTCTCTTATTGGAAACGTTTCTATTTATTACTAATCAAACATGGCTTCGGCTATGGGACTGGTTATAGAAGTGTAACAGAGAGTTGGACCTTCAGTTCTATATTTCACTTTTTGCACTTAAAAAAAAAATCACCCTTGATTATAGTCTTCAGAAATATCAAATTAGATCCTTGTAGCTGCTGATATCTTATGCAAGTTTCAGAGCAGCATCAGCTGCAGTTTACTTCAGTAGGATTAGATGTCCAAGAAGCTGGTGGAGAAGATCCATCACTGAGATCAAGGCATTATTTTCCTGTAATTTTATTACTGAAATTATAACATAATTGAAAAGCATGGTTCCTTAGTGGCACAGCAAATAGTGATAAATCTATAGGAAAATTTTAATAATTGGAGGAAAGCTATCATTTGTATTGTGAAACTTTCAAGATATTTTACTTTTGTGTGTTAAATATTTCTAAGTATTTAAAAATGATAATGTAAAATTAAATCTAAAACAGATTTTACTAGATTATTTTTAAAAAACTGCACTAGGCTAATGTGATGCAAAGACACCACTGCATGCCACGTGCAATATTTAGATTCAGAGACGGCCATTAGATTTTGTTGATTAATTAGTTTCATGATTTTCGGACAGCTCTAAATTTGCCATGAGCATAAATGAACACAAGAAATATTCCTTAGGTGTTTTGGTGATGGGTTTAATGAGAGCAATAACGCTTTTCTTTTCTTTTTTTACCATCAGACAGGAAGCTCTACTTGCTGCAATCAGTGAAAAAGATGCAAACATTGCCTTGCTTGAACTGTCTGCTTCAAAGAAAAAGAAGACTCAAGAGGAAGTAATGGCTCTAAAACGAGAGAAAGACAGATTAGTGCACCAGTTAAAACAGCAGGTGGGAAAACGTTCATTTTCACTCTTCTGTTGGAGCTGGCACTTGGCATTTAGTTTCATTTTCACTATTTTACGCTAACCTCGTATTGAAAAGCCGTCAAGCGAAGTCTGCCTTTTGACAGCAGCTGAGAAAGGTAGGATGAGATTATTGTAAGTGTTGCTGTACTGTTACATTAAGGCTGTTAAGTATTAACTCATGTGTTTGTTTCATTCATACTTGTTGGGGTTAGGTACAGACATTCAAAAAGACTGAGCAGAATCTGTTTCAAATATGCAGATTTTGGTAAGCAGTGTAGTTTAGATCAGTAGCGGACAGAACACACATTTGCCCATTGGTGGGAGGGGCAAATCTTAGATTAGGTCCTGCCATTTTTAAACCAGCCTATGTATGCCGAACTTCTGTTCTGTTATAGGTATAGACAGGTTTCTGATCACTTATATCAGTAAAAGTGTAATGTCTGTACCTGGCCTGGGTTGTTCCTCTTCCACGTAGCTGCCACAGTCCACCACAGCCGAAAGCAGACGCACTATGCAATAAAGCAAGATTAAATCCCATTTGTTGACTCCTTCTAGTCTTCTCTGTTTAGTTATATGTATGTTTGCTGCAAAATAGTGGCTTGTTCAGAAGGTTCCAGATTTTCTGAGAGGTTATCTGTAATTTGTAAGTGTGATTAAAACCTTACCAATTTTAAAATAACTGCTATCTTCATTATTAAAAATCAATAGAAGTCTCTAAGAGAAGAGTTTTTAGTTACATGCTCTGGAGCAAGTTTTACCACAAGAAATAGTACTTCAATTTCATTTTTTTTGTTTTCATGTTGATAAAAATTACTATAGTAAGCTGCATACAGTGCATATGGATATCTTTTGTGGCTAATTGAAGTTATTTCATAGTGTGAAAACATAACTGTATACTGACTACTCCCTCTGTTTTAAAGTTCTGATAGTCATTGCTCACACAGGTACTGTAAGCTTAGTGAAAATCAAGAGAGGAAAGGATGCTCTGATAACCTAGACAGTGAAGATCTGTGTTGTGCGTCATATCAGTGTGCTGTCGAACACCTTCCTTCCTTTAATAATGTGAGAAGAGATGAGAGAGAAGTTTTCCGAACTCAGCTAGTAGTGTTATATCTGATGTTTTCCTTTGTGTGGCAGTGTCATCATTGACTTCTACAAGTTCTACTTGAAGAGCAGAAAATCTCACATCACGCTAGTCTCAGCCTTTCAAAATAACCAATCTCCTCTCAGGCAATGGGCCATTTCACAAATGAGCATGTCATGTTAATACTATATAAGGGTGTACCACACAGCCAATGTTATGATTCTTCATTCTGAGTCATACATTGCATAATGTAGATTTTCATTCACTCGGCAACAGAAAGCTAAGGAAAAGCCTTGCTTCTGAACTAAATTCCCTCTAGTTCTGACCATCATTATAGCTTTTTCCTACAGGTCGATAGAAATAGGAAACAGCCCCCAAGCATGAAAATATCATCCGTTTTTGCTGCTGACCTCATAACAGACATTGCTGCCAAGTACCTGGGCTCCAGCCATAATGTACATATGCTTCAGGTCAATAAGCTGTTTAGGAGACATTTCACACGCATACCATGTGCCTACTAGCAATGTGCAGACAAGGTTCCTTGGGTGAGGAGAATAGTTATTAAGCAAGCCAGGAAGAGCACACACCAACTGCTGAAACTTCCTTAGCCTGACGAAGGGTTTTTGAACCCGAAAGCTTGCTTAATAACTATTCTCCAACCATTTGGGTTGGTCTAATAAAATATATCAAATTCACCCAAGGAACCTTGTCTGCCTATGTCCTTAGACCAACACGGCTACAACCCAAACCCCTACTAGCAATGTGTACATTTTTACCTTCTTATTGTATTGATGTACCTTCTCATGTCTTGTTCCCAGAATCATCTACACTGCAACTGTGCAGCATGGATTCAAGCTATGGTAGTTTTCTTTCTTGCCTTTTGGAAGATGATAGCAGGTATTATGTCTTGTCATTTTGGACAATTCCTTTCTTCCTTTCTCCATCATCTTCCTAGTGTGAGGAGTAAAATATTGAAATAATAGAGCATATTGCTGTACTCCAAAATATGTCCTCTAGATACTCTGTTATTTAGTGTGAAAAGGTGTGCAAACATCCACTCACTCTGCCTCAGGATAGGAACAGATAGCAAGAAGAAAGTTGCTAGGGAAGCATTATTTAGGGTAATTTCAATTAAAAATTTAACTAAGTACAGTTGGACCCCAAGTTACGTGGGGGGTTCCTGAAAAACACCATGTAAGTTGAAACCATGTATCTCGAGGGATTGAGTCAATGGAAAACAGGGGGATAGGGACCTGGGACCAAGATTTGATAACATTATTTCATAATAAAAGGATATTTAAACACAAAATAATGGAATTAATAGCCTTATTAAAACCTTTACTCCCAGCTACGTGCTCATATAAAGACAAAGCTTTAGCTTTAATTGCCACGCTGTCGACAACTGCTCCTTTTGTATTGGTCATTTCATTGATCCAAAGATTAAGGAGTTTCTCAATCTTATCTAAATGAGGAATTCTAGTCACCAATGGCACTCGAATTCACAGGGCTTGTCGTTTTCACACAGTCTCTAATTTTTTGCTCACTTTTTTTAATGGTACACACAGTCAATTCACTTTAACTGTATTGGTGAACAATCAACACAGCACTATTGCCTTCTCTTAATTTATCAAGGATTTCTGTTTTCTGGGCCAGGGTGACAGACTTACATGCTCTTTTGGGCAGAACATCAAAGGCTTTCTTTGATGCCATTTTCACAAATATTCAGGGGTTAACATAACCAAAAATGATGGACAATCTTGAAGGAGACGACAAGTGATGCTAATGTTATGTAAGCAGACTTCAAACTAACAACTGCTCTACCACAAACAGTGTAAACATGAAGCTGGAACATGGTCATGTTATATAAAGCATGTATATGTGAATCGGTGTAACTCAAAACTGTGTAACTGGGGGTCTGACTGTACTCTATTTTACTTCATTATTTATAGTAATAAGGAGCCTTAATGCCATATATACTAATACATTAAAGTGATGCCAAGATAAATCCTCTTCATTAGCCTGGACATCATAGGAAAAAAGACAAGAAATAAAGGATGTGGTTTAACTAGGCCACAGCTTTATCTTATCTAGCAGCTATTTGACGATAAATCATCCAGGGCAGATTATCCTTCCTGCTGGAATCTGTGCTACCTGAGGGAGGACTGGTCAGCCCCCACTTCTCTCCACACCAACATTGTTGGTTGATACCACAACCCAACCCTCATGCAAGGATTTAGAGATGAGAAATAGGGTGGTTCCACACAGTACCAGATATAAAGAGCCCCAAATAAGTTTCTAACCTTCTTTAAGAGAGAACTTTCCCTAACTGGCTTCTAATTCCAGTTTATCAGGGAAAATGACTCCCTAATAAGTCATTATCTGCATTGGATACTTGCCACATTGCACTAATGAAAATTTTACAACTTTGCTTCCACAATGGGTCCCTGGGTTGCCAAGAGGAATGTAAAAAAGTCTACCTTGCTGCTGTCTGTCTAACAATGAAGGGGAAATTTTGTTGTAGTCCCTAAAAGATGATTTAGGGATGCATCTATACCATCCTCAGAATTCCCAAAGATTGTTGCTTTTTGGAATTCCTCACTCAATAATGCCAAACCTGGAAACAAGGAAGTTAACTAACCCCAAAGGCTCCTCTACCACTGGTCTTGATACCTCTGTCTCCAGCATGCTTCTGAGAGGTAGCAGGGCTTTTTCAGGCTGGCCTTTAAAAAAGGATATCTGATTTCTTATGATTCTAAAATGTGAATTCAAATTAAGTTGTTGTTTTCTACAAAAAATTTTTAGGAAAAGGGGAAATCATATGATATGCAACTCCAAAACTACCAACAAAGATTTTTGACTTGGGAGACAGGAAGTCCATAAAGAGTGAATAGCAGGATTGTAATCTCTACACTTCCAAACCAGGATCAAATGGTTAGGTACTCCTTGGCTTGTTAGCACTCTCTCCCCAGGCAGAAGTACTAGAGTGGATTCTAGCTTTTTTCACTACCAGTGTATCTAGGGAGATCTCACCTCTACCAGTAGGACTTCTCAGAGGAAGGTGTACTGCCTTCTTTCCATTTCAAACAGATTTCAGGAGGATATTCTAGCCTTCTGAAAGAAGGCAGAGAAGGTCGTAGAGGGTCATTTACTAGGCAGACCTCATAAGATTTAGGTATCTCCTAGGATTCATTTAAAAGGTATAGATACTTATCTAGTTGGAACATCCAAACATTTGCAAATTCACTTATCGCTACTGAAAACCTTTTAAAGCAAGATATGGTGGCTCCCACAGGGCACATTGATGTAGGCATCAAAGGTCTGCGTCATATTTCAGGAGATGTGGCACTGTGTGCAGTAGATTTTTGTTACTATGTTTTAATGGTTCAAGAGGTCAATTCTATTAAATGCATTGGAGTAACCCAAAGTACCGAGGTTTCTCAGAGAGTTTTATTGTGATTGGATTAAAGCCAAAAAAACAGATCCTATCAGAGTGCTGTAATGCATCACAGACTTAGACTCAGATTGAATTGCCTAAATGCAAATGTATCTGGGTTTACCACAGACACAGTGATAAATGGCTCTAATCACTTTGGTAGACTCCTAAAGCATCCTGGCGTATTTGTACTTCAACTGGAAGCAGATTGGTTTTCCACAAACTTCCGTAAGTTAGTTTCAAAGAATATTAAGGTTATACCACAAACTGATGGAAGCACTGAAATTCCCATGTGAGGAAGAAGAGTACCACATGTTTTTCAATAACTAGATGTAACACACCACCACCTAAACAACTTACTTAATAGGCCCCATTGTGCCTCAAATGGCACGTAATATATTTCCACCTCAGGAATGAGCTTTCTCCCTTTTGTCAGTCTGACATAGCCCTAATGCTATTTTATTAC